GATTTATCATTCTTCAAGTGTAGATAGTGTTATTTATAACTGCTTCATTGATGGTACTTGAAATTTATTTCAGTACGACAACAATTTATGGTACTTCACCGAGCACTTTCGTCTATGAGCTTATCATGCCTTACGTTAGTGCATTAACTGTTTTTCGAGAAACCATTTCGGAATTAGCACAACAACGTAATGTTAACGATATCATAAAGGTGATTAAATAAAAATCTTCATCAATGTGATTGATATTAAAAGCGGTATGAAATCACCTCTTTATGGACAAACAAATTTCAGCAAATCTGGTATTTAAACTTACATAAACAATAATAGAATTATGACATATTATGAAAAGATAACAAAATCGGTGAAATGCAATTTTAATGAAAATTAAAATGAAAAAAAGAAAGAAAAGAATTAAAAGAAAGAAACGAAAGGGAAAAGAATTTAAAAATTGAGAAGATAGTTATATAATGTAGAACGAATTCAAATCCGGCTTTTTGTTAGACCAAACTGATAAAATTTCGAGAATTTATTCTTGAATCTTCCGTAGTTTTATACAATTCATAATTTTGCAAAAATTATACACTGTTTGTTTCATAAAATGAATTTGTAGGAATGTGATCGTATCCGAGATGAAGTCCTCCCAGAATTAGACATTTTCCTCAATGAGGCGAATCCTGAAAAATCGGCACTTGCATTAAAAAAATGGAGTATGTCTGCTGAAGCTATTGCAAATCAGGCATGTATATTATGTTTTTTCATCATATTTTTATATTAGATGCATGCGAATTTAATGTAAAGATTACAGAAATTCAAGTTTAAATTATAATTTTAACAAAATTGCTACTGAACAGATTAACTCTCGTATTCTTAGTATATAAACATCTGCCAGCTAAAGTAGCATCAAAGATGCTTCGCTCCCTCCTCATAACGGCCAAAAAAGCATCTTGTATATCGATATTAAATGATCATCTTAGTTAAAAATTTGGCTATAATTATGATAACAGAAATTAATTAGGCTTTAATTAATAGCAAAAGGTGTTCTATTTTTAAATTATGAGCCAATTTTTCATGATAATTTTCCAATAAACATTAGCAATGTTGATTCTAATCGAATGATCGAGCAATATTTT